ACTTTTTCTAATGGTAAAAACTGCAGATCGATAGCTCTTTCTGTTGAAAAGCTATTCGAAAAACAATCATCTTTCTTTTATCTTGAAACGGACATTAGCTTCAGGACTTTGCTTTACCAAACTTACTACAACGCATCTCTCTAGAATATAGTCTTTTTGAGTAAAACTAACCGACTATCGGGGCATTTTTTCATAGTCATTCACAGAGTAGTTATTATTGACATGTCTCATTGATATATTTTATTTTATTCTACTTTAAACGTAATATTGTGTGTTGTAAGAAGCATGCTGCATGAAAAATCTTTTGTCTGACAACAGAATAATAAGCTGACCATTAGACCATCAAAAAATTATAAGGAAAAATATGCGACAGAAAGAAAAATACCATCATATATTCGGTGGTCAAACAGACTGAACCAAAGTTTAGTCTGTTTGTTATCTTTATCACAGAACAACACGATGGCATCGATATTTATTTGTCATTATTCTTATAGACGGCAATGAGAAAATGCAAACATCTATATATATAGATGTTGTCTGAAAAGTAGTTCTCAATTTTTAATTCTTGATTACTCTCAAACAACAAAAGAAATCGTAACGATTTTTTCACTGTTTTGAAGCATGCGTTATGGCATTTTGTTGTAGATGAAACAAGCTGATTGATCGTTTGACTGTCTACCTAGTGAAAAATATTTCTAAAAATAACGGAAGAGAATGCATTCATAAAAATGTAGAGACTTGTCTTTTACATGAAGAATGTGTTCTACAGCTTAGCGAACTTTTTCACAAACAAAAAGTAAAGTTTTGAGTCTAAAGGAACTCATTCTTTATTGTTCCATACTAGTACGGAATGCTTTCTTCTCAGTTCAAAAATCCTTCTCTAGCTGGATAGAAAGCGTTCTGAACCGTTCTATGAGCCAATAGAACGTGTCTCTGCCCATTCTATTTCGAAACACCTGAGAATGAATTCTTTTGACTGATGAACGCTTTCATCTGAATTTAACGTCACTTTTGATTCATAAATGACAGCTCTGAAGTACGACACCCTGAAACTGGTGCCAAAAATGGTGGAACCTTCAATTAGTCATACTTTACAACTGACAGTCCTGATTCCAAAAAAGTTTTTTTTTTTTAATAACAGTTTGAGCTACTAAAAATTAGAGCTCGTCGAGTTGCATCAGAATCGATCTTTCAAAAAATTATGTCTGAACTTTTCTTCAAGAACTCTTATAGTGAATCTAAATTCAGGCAATAATGATCAAGAATGCGTTCCAAAAAAAGTTTGCTTTTTTTTGAGAAAAAAAAACATTCCAAAAAAGCTGGAACAGTTAAGAACGCATTTCAAAAAACATGGAATGTGTTCTTAATGGCTCCATTTCGGAACCCTTTCCACTTTTGTTGGAACGTCTTCTTTTCTTAAAAAAAAGGGCTTTTCATTTTACGGAACGCGTTCTTTCCCGTTCTTTGACACAAATATTTTTCACTGAGTAAGACCAAACCCGAATTTCGTCTTGACAATATCTGGAAAAACTGATTCTTTTGAGTAGTTTATTATCCTTATACTAGAACCAGGGTGTGGATGTGTATGTGGAGCTATAATGTGTGTTTAGACAATAAAAAAATGTTTACTCAAGCCGACGCATCTACATCCTGATCCTAGTATAAGAATAATAAACTACTCAAAAGAATGAGTTTTTTTCAGATATTGTCAAGACGAAATTCAGGCTTGATCTTAGACAGTCAAACGATCAATCGGCTTGTTTGTCTACAAAAAAATACCAAGACACACGCTTCAAAACAGTGAAAAAAATCATTACGATATCTTTTGTTGTTTAAAAGTAATCAAGAATTAAAAATAGGAAGCTATTTTTCAGATACCCTGTCGATTAACATGATTACATTTTATGAATTAGACATGAACAATTTAAATAACACATATCTCAATATACTCGATTTACCCGATGAAATTTTATTCATCATTTTTGAAAAACTAAATATGGCTGATGTTCTTTCTTCACTTGTGTATGTTAATCGATGATTTGGTCGATTAGCTCTTGACTCTTTGTATATTTGTGACCTTAATATGACTTCTATTACGACTGTCAATTCACTGTATGATCGAACTTCTTCAATAGATACTCAAATTCTCTCAAGAATTTGTAAAAATATCTTACCTTGAATTCATCATCATGTACATAAGCTCACCGTTGAAGAATATTCAATGAAACAAATTCTTCTTGTTGTCAATTATTCTCAACTTTATTCATTATCACTTATGAATTTCCAAGAAGTAACACTTTATCAATATTTAACAGATACAGTATTTAATTTTTGTTAGAATGAAAAAAATAATTAATCTACTTATACAAAATTTAATAATTATCTGTGTCATTTTCTTTGAATTAAAGATGATTTAATTCTTCGTGATCTTCTCACCAAACACATAACACATCTTAATGTTGCCATTAAAACAACAACAGAAGAACGGTCAGAAATTGCTTCAAAGATTTTTGCATTTATCTTATCTTTATGTAAAAAATTAATCGTTTTGCATTTTTGTGATACATTTCCTACACGAAAGTATGTGGCTCCTTTTTGTTTCATCTACTATAGGAAAGTTATATGCCTTCAACTTTGATCAAATTGAAAATCAATGTTGCAACTTTAAGTGATTGTCTTTATTTACTTGATGAACCTCTCTTTTGTTTATCAACATTAATTATTAATGTATCACAAATTTTTTATTCATTAGGAAATATAGATTCAACAGTAAGTATAATTTTAATGATCATCTGTAGAGAAAAAAAAATACTAAACGAAATAAATAAATAATCTTAATTTTATTTTCTTTATTAGAAAAAACTTCCCAAATTGAAATTTCTTTCACTCACAACATTTGATCACACATTTGAATATGATACTCTAATTATTTCATTATTTTGTCGAATGATAAATCTTGAAGAATTGAAATTATATCTATCCGTGGGAAGATTTAACTCGACCTATATTGATGGTATTCAATTATATGATCAATTTCTTATTTATATGACACAATTAAACAAATTTACATTTAATATCAAGATAGAAGTCGACAACAGGATCATTAGAATTGAACTTCCATCGAATGAAGATATTCAACGTAGTTTCATCGGAAGAATTTACCACGAAGTAGTATCATATGTTAATACTAACTCATCTATATGTGAAAGCGAATGCCATTTTTATTCATTTCCGTATGACTTCGAATATTTTGTTGATCTCAACAATTCTTTTCCAAGTGGCATGTTTCATAAAGTTCGACAATTGCAGATGAATGATGAAATTTCTTTTGACCATGAATTATTCGAACTTATTGTTCGAGACTTTCCTTTTCTCGAATTCTTATCTATATCTAATGATGATCCACAAAAAGACAAGCAACATTCATCAACATTAATCACATTTCCTTATCTCATATTTCTTGACCTAGAAAGCGCACATGTTGGCTATGCTGAATTATTTCCTTTGGAAAAAAATATGCATCTATCTTGTTTGATAAATCTTACCATACAATACAAATCACTCAAAACGATAACAGACAATTTTACCAATGCTGCAAGGCATTTTAATTTTAGTAAATTGAAAAGTCTTCGTGTATGTCAACAATTTGTTTGCCCAGAAAATTTTCATCAATATTTTCCTTTGTTATAAACTGTTTCAATAAAAGAAATTACATAGAGAAAATGAAGTATTTTTTATTTATACTACATTGCAACAAAGAATACGAGAATAAGGGTGTGGGTGTGGGTGTGGGTGTTCTTTTCTGTGACATCCACATCCACATCCACACCCACACCCACACCCACACCCCACACCCACACCCACACCCACACCCCACACCCACACCCACACCCGTACCCACACCCATACCTACACCCCACCCACACCCACACCCACCCAAAAATTTAATTGAGTGCCTCGTATCCTCGATGCTGTCGTGGACCCTCTCTTAAGCTGTTTTTCACTTGAGAGGGTGTGTGGGTGTGGGTGTGGGTGTGCGTGCTTCTTTTCCTTTCAGTCACACACACACCCGTACCCATACCCACACCCACACCGACCCACACCCACATCCACACACCCACACCCACACCCACCCACATCCACTCACAACCACACCCACACCCACACCCACACCCTTGATATCATTTTGTTTGCTTCATTCACAAAATAAAAAGTTTCGTGATTCATTTCATTCTCGAGATAAATCGATATAAAATAATCTTATGTAAAGTATTTTTCTTTGTTGTTCTCTAATTTTACTTTCGCAGCTGCTTTTCGTGCATAGATATTCAAGGCAGAATGATATGGCTGATATTCGTAAAACGGCATCTAATTAGACAATATCTCATAAAAGAATAAACAGTACAGACTAAGAAAAAAGCTAAGTAACACTAAAGATTCCTGGAACACTGCATATCGTTTTTGGGAAACGTTTAGTTTCATAAAAACTCTGATGTGTGAGCGTAGATAGGTGTATGGTGGTAATATCGTTAATAACTTTCTTTAACTTCTACCACCACTTACTTCAATATTTTAAATATTATTTTTCTTTTTACAAATGGGCCTCTATTGTTGACATTATTCATGTTGACTCATAGCTTCAGTATAGATAAGATTGTCACATCTATTTTGTTTCGACGTCGTAGATTGACATACTCCAAAAAGTAGAGAATATAGGTGTGCGTGAACGTGCACGTATATTTCTTTTCTTAATTCACACCTACACCCACACCCTGTATGCTAGTCACTAATCACTTGAACGTAAAGCAAAAGGAAAAAAATATTCGACGAGCATAGTCTGGATTTTCGTTAATTGTATTATTAATTCATCAAAAAAATGATTTCCTTTAGCGTTAAATCTAAATTAAGACCATAATTGACAAAAAAAATGATAATCCTGAAAAAATAAAGCAACAAATTGAAAAAAAATATCGAAAATGTCGTTCAGTTATAGTTCACTATTAATGATTTATTCGTCCTTGCCAATTATGAAATCTTTAAAAAAAACAAATCGAATTCAAATAAACTAAAGATAATAACGAGTATGTAAATCTCACTTAAGTCCAACCTTTTCCAATGCTGCTACAATATGATCCATATTTTCACGTTTCAACGTATACCAACAACAGTGATCATCATCTATTTTTCGTTCGTTTTCGATTGAGTCACTACCTTTTACTAAAAGACATCCAAATTAGATTAATCTTTCTTTATATTCATATGATCATCAATAATCCTATTCTCAACTTCTACTATACCATCATTATTAGTTAAAAGTCTTGGTTTCTTATCTTCTTTAGTCTTATGATCAATAAAATACATAAAACGAAAACAACTGCTTATAAATAAATTATTGACAATTACCGAATGACCGTTTTAAGAATGACTGAAGTTTTCTGTACAGATGTCGAACACTACGATATAGTATATAGGGAGTACCAACTGGTGGTGGTATTGAAGGTTTATCTCTATATTCATTGATAATTAAATAACGTTCATAACCCCATACTTGTTTTGATCGTTCCTCAACATCTCTAATTGTCACACTAAAAACAAAAATCAAAAACAAATTATAAATAAATATTTTCGTCATTGTTTTTTCTTTACATACTTAAATAAGGCAACGAGTACATTAAGAAGAAGTACATTCGCAATAGCAATGAATATAATATCCAATACGAATGCTACGTATGAATATGCATCTATGTCAGCTAGAAAGATGAAAAAGAAAAAAATTATTCATGGATACAATTTAACTATGATTATTCTTACTAATGGTTTCTACTTGTCCAAAAATTTTCCAAACACCATAATTCGTTACATTACGCAACAAATGCCATGTCCATAGATTGGTACCTGTACGTGGTACAGTTGCATTGAATAAAGACCCATCACTCTTATAATACCAATAAACTTGACTGTCTGTACTAAGCAAAGACCATGATGCCATTGAAAATGCAAACAAAAATATTAAAATAAAGCAAACAAAAAAGAATAGATCTCTCATCTATGAATAAAATCAGAATATAGAGTAGATTAGAAAAAAATTATCAGCGACTGACCGTATTAAAAATCATAATTAATTTTAGTCCTAATCGTCGAAAAGGAACAAATAAATGCAATGTACGAACAAACCAAAGTATCAAGTCAAGACACATGAATATTCTAAAAATCATACAAAAATAAAAATTTTTCACAATTTCAAAGATAATAGAATCAACTTTCTTTGAAGTAATAAATGTTGCTTCATATCGAAAAAATCTGGTAATGAAACCAACAAGATAAAAAACAATTGCAGAAATGTCAAGATTATTCCATTTTTCGAAACGATATGTTCCTTCGAAAAACTAAAACATTTACAAAACTTTTTCTTAGCCTTGTTTAGCATAAAGGTCTATATTATACTTGACGCATTTCTTCACATATCAAACTCCATGTGCAGACATGAAGAATCATTTCAAATGTTGGCATTGCTAAACCTTCATAACCTGATCGACGTTCCCCATAGATATTTAGTGGAAAATAATTGAAAAGAATAACACCACTGAATAAAATCAGAAATAAGATATAGAATATCTGAAAATCCAAAATCAAATGAATATGTATGTATGGAACTAATGTAAATGTTCTTACTGCATAATGATAAAATCGTACGATGGGGGCTCTATAAAAGTATATAATTTTATTGCGCCATAAGTGGTATTTTGGGCTAGCAAGTGTAGACAAAATATGTTTGAATAAAAAAATTCATGAAAGAGGAATTACTGGTTTTCTGGCTTGGAAGAATTATTCAGTTCAGATGTTGGACAGACTATCGAACAATCTCGAGCATTGAAAAGAGTCTTTTAAAAAATAATTCAAGATTCGTTTTACCTTTATCATTTATATGATTATCTTTTTCTATATAACGAAAAGTCCAGAAAAATATTGGAACTAAAGGAAAAACTAATGTACATGCAATTATCTGAAAAGAAAAAGAATTCCTTTGTTCTTAATATTAGTTTTTCAAGATTTACTCGAAGATCAATATATTTTCGTGTGTAATCAATATTTCCATACCTATAATCTTAACCTTTTGAATAACTTTTTCATAAAATCAATATGTTACCATATCTTTTGAAGGTGTCTTTGAACACATCTCGATGCAAGAAATGATTTACATTCAACGGTTTCAGCCAACTCTAATAGAGTCGTATGATTAAATGCATCAACTGAATGTTTTAAAAGACTAAGTGTAAAGCATTTATCATATTCATAACTCATATCAATAATCGATACAGCAATGTCCTCGAGTTGGCTAAAACAAAAAACAAAAAGAAATGATCAATGAAGAATACATTCAAATTACTTTGCATGTTTATGGTATTGTTCTTGCATGTCTGTGTTTATTTTTAATTGTGTTGCATATCGATATATATACGCACCAAGTAATAGATTCAATGGCGTAGTCTAATATCAACAAAGTATATTATTTCTGAATAATATCAATATGATCCTACCACAAAAATGATCACTAAAGTGATTGCTAGAGAAATAGGCAAAAGAAATTCGAACTTGATAAATGTGACAAATGGTATATCAATCTTGTTGTCATTTCTCTTACTGAAATGAAAATACAGTCAAAAAATATCTCATAGACATTTAATCTATTGTCACATTTAGAATTCCAATGCAGCATTCTGACTATTGACAAAAAGGAATACGTTCAATTGAGTTCTATAATATTACGCATGATATGACAATCGAATTGCCTTACAAACGTTTCGCTCACGAAAAAATTACACATCAAATCACTTTCAGCATTCGAATAGTAAATTCTTTGATAAGGTTTATTTAATCATATAAATCTTACCCACGTTTCGATATAGATGTATACCGCAAGTTCGAATCGATTAGAAAAAATTGCCCATAAAAATAAATTTTGTGCCGCACTTTGACTAGGTAAATCACTCTCTTCTTTTTTTGAGTCTATCGTCTCAAACTATAATCATACGATTTTTTAAAACAAGAATGAACGAATAAATTTGTTTCATACTCCGATCCGTTTAAGATAGTCAGTATAATATTGATTTTTGTCTAATGGTTTCTGTTCATCTGTAATGGGCAATGGATTATAAGACTAATAAAAAAATATATCAAAAAACAGCAAACACTAATTTTTTTTCTAGTTTGTAAGTCATCATACCGGCTGATCATAAAGTTTTTCAAGATCTTCAGGTGTTAAGTTTTTAAATGATGCACCAAAGTCAAGAAGTAATTCAATGAAATCAATATGACCATGGTCAAGTGCATTAAGAAGAGCCCGATGTAGATCACGTTCCTTTTATTAAATGAAAATTTCAAAACAAAATAACTAAGTCCAATAGAAAAAAAAGCATAAAATACCGTATAATTAGGTCGTGTTGTATCGGTAAGAAGATATTGACGAGCATAATCAAATCTATTCCATGCCTAAATGAAGAAAAATCTTATTGTACTGATTAGTCATTTTTTGTGAATTACTATAGCTAATATGAGTTCGTTTGCTAGTTTATGTTGTTGATTTGATATTTCAGTATTTCTTCTAGCTGTTACAAAACAAAAAAAATGTCTTTGATTTACAAGATAAAATTGTTGTTTACCATTAGATAAAGATTGTAAAATAGCATCTTCAAAATTTCTATCATGCCTATTGCTAGAAATTTTAAGAACTGTTACTGGATGTTTACACATTTTTAATATTTCACATGAATCCTTTGTAGTAACAGAATTGTTTTTTTCAATTTTAATTTGTGATTCATTCGAACTTGATTCGTAAATAGACACGTTGCTTATGAAAAAGAATTTTATGTAATAAATGGAACTTACATAGAATTAATCTTTGCTTTTTTTGAACTTTCTACAGAAATGATATTTTGTGATATTTTGGAGTTCGTACTACTAGTAACATCATCATCTATTTTACCATCAGAATAAGAACTATGTAATTCAGCAACAATTTCACTAGTACACTCTCTATGCTTTAAAAATCGAGATTCATTTAAATTAAATAAATAATGCTAATAATCTTTCTATACTTTTAGAAGCACAACTGGAATACCAGGTTTTACTACTTTAACTTTTGTTGTATTTAATTGCGTATCACTTTCAACTAAAACCATGACAATAGGTATAGGTGATTCTTCTGCTTCATCATTCGAATTCTTAATACTCCAACGCCATTCAACATGTTCTAGTAAATGAAGAACGAAATCGCCATTTTTTACGTCACCATCAAATAATAAAAAATGTGTATGATTTGGGTCTAAATTGAATTCTCTATTTTCTTTGCAATGATCATTGCCATGCTAAGTTTAATTGAGAAGAAAAAAATTTTATGTTTTGTATTTCAAACAGTCTTAAATGCAACTAACTATCTGAATAGTATGTTCGGCTGAACTTCTATCGTGTGAGTAAGCTAAATGTCTTCTTGAACTACTAGCACTTTCAGGAAGATTTTTCGTTTTTTTTTCACGTTGTGCATATCCTGCAATACTATTCCAACTGGTACTCCCAATACATGGAAGATTGTATTTATGTTTCTCAATGTAATCACGATAATACCTAAGACCTTCACCAACTTCTTTGGCGACACCAACATTTTTTCCGGATGTAACTAACCATGCATCTATTTAATTAAAATTGTGCATATCTTATCCATAGTAGAATAAAAATATATTACTTGCTCTAATGGCGGCATAAACCAGATCTTTTCGAATCATTTCTCTTAGTTGTACTGATACATCATCATCTTCTGCTCTACTCATTACAAATATAATTATATCTGGTAATTGTAAATTCCAAGCTTCTTTCATAATCCTAAAAATTTTGTCAGCACCTGTCTCAAGCCTTAATCGTATGCATCGTGAGCAGTGTGAAGTGGTGTCACCTTTATTTGTTTTAAATTCATATAGACTATATGTCTCTGATAATCGACCAGATCTAGCAGAAAAGCAAAAGAAATATTAGAGTTTTCATTTCAATGATAAACATGTTTGCAAACTTACTGTCCAGAAGAAGAGCTTGGGAATACTGAACTTTTCGGAAATATTTTTGAAGAGCGTACTTCCATTTCGAAACCTCTTTTCTGTTTATCATTCAGTTGTGCCACCTTTTTCATGTTTTTTTTTGAACTTATTGTTTAATTGTTTATATAATTATTAGGTATGATTTTCAACAAAAATAACAAACATTCAAAACGACATACAAAAAATAAAGTCAGAGTAAGATTAAAAAGTGAAGGACTATATATAATAAGATTGAGATAACAAGTGTTGTTGTTATTAGGAGTGGCATTTTATCTTTACCTGATAAAGTAAAGTAAAGTGAATCATCTCTAACTTTATCGAACAAGCAATACAGAGTAAAATAAGATAAAGTAAAACATGCAGTTGAAGATTATTGATTTATTAGTTTAATAGCATACATTAAGCACGCTCTAATACGTTAACAATCACGTCCAATTATGGATCAATGACTCCGAAAAGTTAAAACCTAATTTTATTATACTGGAAATCAGCATCGAACCTCAGTATTCTTCATAAATCTATATTCCATATAATCACAACTCGATTATCATGCTTGAAGTCTCCTTCAGACATTGAAAACAAATTTTCTGGTTTTCAAATCACCAGTCTTTATAATTCAATAGTATCAAGTGTACAGATTACAAATGTCTCATTTATTTCTAGAAAATGATACGATGGTTGAGTCTGCTCATTAGAGTCCGAGATGTTTCAGTGTCTTGATAGTCGAGATTATTATCTTTTGAGTCTCTTCACATTTTAATTTAAACCATTAAGTAAATGAAGTTTTATTATAACTGGGATATGGCATATAAACAATTGTGGGGTGTGAATCTAGACTATGGGTATGAGTAGCAGAGTTCTATCCAAGCTTTTTTCTGCGGAGGAGTAATTTGCAATTTCGGCATAGTGAGAAAGTTCTTTCCGTTGGATGTGTGTGGAGTGGGTTCTCTAAACTTTGGTCGAAAGAAAAATTTCGAATTGAAAAATGTCGAAAGACGGTATGGGTGTGGGTTAGGTGAAAAAGAAAACTCATACCCAAAGCTACACTTCAGATCTATCATATTATTTTAGTACTTTTTAATAATAAAAAAGATATTTGTAATCTGCACACGTAGTGAAATTTGTTTTCGATATCCGAAGGAGACATCAAGCATCAAAATTCGAGTTGTGAGGGTGTGGAGCACAGATTTATAAAGAATCTTGAGTGTTCGATGCTGACTTCCAAAGTAGTAAAACCAGGGTTAAAATTTTCAAAGTCTTTTGTCCGTAATTCGACACGACTTCTAACGTATTAGTGTGTGATTAATGTTGCTAATAAACTAATAAATGAATAATCATTGGCTACATGCTTTACTATATCTTATTTAAGTATGTCTTGCTTATTCGATAAAGCTAGAGATACTTCACTTTACTTTTCAGATAAAGTTAATCCACTTTACTTTTCAGATAAAGTTAATCCACTTTACTTTACTCGATAAAGTAAAGTAGATTAACTTTACTTGATCAGGTAAAGACAAGTAATGCAGCGCAAACGCTGCTAACCCTCTACTGAAAGAATGAGCTGCATTGAAGATAGGATATTAGAAGTACTAGATGCGAGAAACGATTTGTTGACAGCACGCTAAGGAGCAGAATGGGTGTGGGTGTGGGTGTGGGGTGTGGGTGTGGGTGTGGGTGTGGGGGTGGGTGTGGGTGTGGGTGGGTGTGGGTGTGGGTATGGGTGTGGGTGGGTGTGGGTGTGGGTGTGGGTGTGCACTCTAAAAAATTTTCGTATCCTAGGAAACCCAAAGGGGCTCGGAAACCTACTCGGAAACCCTTTTCAGTTTCCGAGTCGGTTTCCGAAGTTTGGAAGCGTTTCTGAAAATACCATTTGGGTTTTCGAACGTTCAGAAACCCAAGGGTTTCCGACAATACTCAATTGAACACTCTAAAAGTATTCTAGAATACCTTTTTCTTGCTTTCGGAAACCCAATAGGTTTCTCGAAAATCGGAAAGGTATTGTCGAAAACCCATATTAGTAGTAAAGCTGGATTGATACCCGAAAGAGTATGCGAAAATACCTTTTCATTTCCTAAATGGTTTCCGAAAATACCCAATATGAAAAAGGGTATCATAGGATACCGAGATGGGTT